CTCGCAGCAAAATTCGTTTATGCGATTTGTCAGGTTCTCACGAGGGTACTCTAGTTCTTGCGCGTCCAGGGGTACCACGCATACTGCTGGAGCTCCGTGTGCACAAGGTACGCAAGAAACGCCACGTAACCCGTACCCGCCGAGACGAACGCGAGAAGCGACGCTGGGCCCATCGCGGTCATATCAACTTTTTGCACGACGAGGTAGAGGTTGACGAGACAGACGAGGAGCGCAACCGCCCAGCCCGCGGCTTTGGTCGTCGTCGAGTTGACAAAGGCGCCCATAAGACCCACGTGGCTCGTGAAATGTAAGATGGGCAGCAGCGCAAACGGCAGTTGGATCGACTGCAGCACGTTGAGCATCTCGCCAATCGTATCACTGGCCCTACATCATCGACACGAGTCTCAGATTATCAAGTTGATACAAAGAGATGCGTACCCCGGTTGCGTGTCGGACCAGATCGCAACAGCGAGGGCCGGCACGAGCGCCACTGCGCGCGTCAGCGCTACACGTTTCCACGGCGCCAACTGGATTCGTAGAAAGCCTAATATACACATATTGTCAGCTAAATATTGGACAAGATGACAATAACGTACCTTCCATGACAAACTGACCCGCGTACGTGCCGGCCATAGTCGAGCTCTGGCCGGCGGCGAGGAGGCCGATCGCCCAGATCGTCTCCGAGTACTCGTCGAGAACGCCGCGGAGGGCGAGGCCGGCGCCCGAGAGCCCAATTTCTTGGCACACGCCCTATTGCACAATGCGAGTTCAATTCCCCATCTCGCACGATATATATTAGCGTACCATGGACCGCGAGCCTTCCATGAGCTGGCACGACCCGTACGATTCGGTGGTCGACGTGTTGAGCGGAACGCACGCCGTGTTGACGCCATGCGTCTCGAATGACTGGAGACAATCGGGCGAGAAGAAGCCTTTGGCAAACACACACATGACCTACAGTAGGTAACAAGCCAGCTTGTACACACAGTCATCGTGTCTTGTACCGCGAGGTTGATGAGAAACGACACGAGAAGCGCGACCGCCGACTCGATCGTAAAGTACTTGTTGGCTTCGCGGACCTTGCGGGCGTTGGTGCGGTCGACGGCGCGCGACTGGACAAGCCCCGAGTGCAGATAAAAGTTGTGGGGCATGATGACGGCGCCGAGGATACCAACAGCTTGCGTCGTGGCGTAGCGCGACGGCGGCCGTGGAAGAAAGCCGTCGAGGACCGGGATCGGGTCGACGCCGCCTTGGACGAGGTTCATGCAAAAGCACGCGAGCATGACGGCAATGAGCGCGACGAAGAACGCTTCGAGCTTGCGGATGCCAAACTGATGCAAGGAGAGGAAGGTCAGTCTACGGTCCACGCATCAAATTGTCCATTTGTCCACGAAATAGCGGAAACGTACGTGTCGACGCCCGTGATGAGGCACCCGACCCAGAGCGGCAGCTGGAAGAGCAGTTGGAGCGCGATCGCGGAGCCGAGGACCTCTTGGATGTCACTGCCGACGATCGCAATCTCCGTCATGACCCATAGAATGTACGACGCCCAGCGCGGGTACATGGCGTAGCAAACTTCGGCGAGGTTCTTGCCCGTGATGACGCCGAGGCGTGCGGAGAGCGTCTGGAGGAAGAAGCCCATGACGGTCGCGCCAAAGAGCACCCAGATGAGCTCGTAGCCGCCGTACGCGCCGGCTTGCAAATCCGACTCGAGGTTGCCAGGGTCCACGTACGCAATGCTCATGAGCCAGCCTGGACCGGCGTACGCCCAGAGCGTGCGCCAGCTAAATGGCAGGCGCAGGCCACAGCAGGTCGACGTCGTCTCTTCCTCGTCAGGCGCCTCAACCTCGGGCCGTGTGAGGCTCTCGACCTCGGCCCACTCGACGAGGCTCACGTGCGATCCAACCGCCTTGGGCGGCGTCAGCAGCGGGGACACCTCGGTGGCCATCTCGTCCACGTCGCCAGGATTGCGCTCTAACCGTGCCAGAGCGTCCAGGTGGCATACCAACATCTGATTGGCGGATCGCTAGAACATTTTAGCCAATCATATTGTGGCTCGTATGCGGCGCCAACTTGTGTGTGTTGGACAATCTGTCATTGCGTCTGGCGACATCACCATAAACATCCTTCTACAGGTGATAGCGCCATGCATACGACAAGGCAAAGCCGTGCACACAGCACTCGAACAGCACTGACTTGCGCAGTGTCGCTGACGGCTAGCATGTCGGACCGAGGCGCACCTAGATGCACGTTGTACCCAGTATTCGCATTACTTGGGCCACACACGCTTGAATAGCTCGCTTCGTTATTCATATACAAGTACTATACAGTGTTTATCGAGTATCCCACCGACCTTTCTACTCGTACTGCATCATCTTCCATATCTGAACGATTCCCAAATGTTCCACCAACCCACAGAATTGTCTGTTCTGTGAACCAAGGTTGTAGGGCAGACCGCTTCGTTCGAGTGGTCGTTCTCATGTGGTGTACTAGTACTTGTGTAGCCAGGTGTTGATATTGTCTTGATATTATTGCTTCAGAGTTGACACTTATTACGCCGTGCCCGCGTCCTTTTGAAGCGGATTCAGCACGACGACGACGACCGTCACATTGTCCATCGAGCCCGATCGAATCGCGAGCTCGGCGAGGTGGTAGCTAATGTCTTCCATGCTCCACTCGGCGCGCAACTTGGCGCGCACAATGTCGACCGCCTCCTGGCTTGTGATCGTGTCCCAGAGTCCGTCGCACGCGAGGACGACAAACTCGACCTCGGGCGTGATCTCAACCTCCTACACGTATACATATATGTATATTTCTCGATCAAGAAGAGATTTCGCACCTGAAACTCCGGGTCGGGGATCAAGAGCGGGCCCGAGAACGTGCGCGGGTGCAGCTCTGGGTACTGCCAGTGCGTATAGTTGTTGGGGCGCTTGTACTCAATGTCGCCGATCGCGCGCGACACCGAGAGGTCGCCGTTGACCTAAACAATATACGAGCATCAGACCCAGGATCATATTGATAGATTGATACACACCCGAAAGATCTCGATGAGCTTGACGACGCGCTTGGCCTTCTCCTGAATGTACGGGTCCTTGAGGTCCATTTGATGCAGCTTGGACATGTGCAATTCCTTGTCCACATGCACCCAGCCGCCTGCCGCCGAGATGCGCTCCATCTCGTCCGGCCGACCAGGCGTCTGGACGTCCATAATGTCCAGCGCCTGCCCGCCAATCGAGATGACCGCCTTCGAGTCGCCGATGTTGGCCGTCAAGAGCTTGTGGCCCCGGACAATCTAGCAAGGGCACTGAGCCTACCACGGATCGAAACACCAACGTTTGTCGTACGACAAGACTGGCTGTCGTGCCCGCGGTGGGCTTGGCCGACACGAGAAACTCGTCGTCGAGACGGGCAAACACCTCTCGGCACGCACGACGCCAATCGGCGGCTAGCTGCGGATGCGCGCGCAAGTAGGTCGGGAGCTTGTCTTTTACATACAGCGCGGCCTACAATATGCACATTCCCACACCATGCTATAGACCAAGAGGACGCATACCGCGTCGCCGTCATGGCCGTCAAAGAGTCCATACAGCGCGGCCTCTGGCGCAAACGACGGAAGGCAGCAAATCACATCTTCGAGCTTCGAGCGCTTCCCGAGGAGTGACGTGGCGCCGTACACGGTCGTGCCTTCCTTGCTGCTCGTACCACGGAGCTCGCGATAGTCGATGGGGCCGTTCGGCGGCGACGGCTCGGGCATCGAAATCGCTGGTTCCGGGTTGTATCCCGGCCGCAGTTGGGGCGGAATGTACTTCTTCTTTGGTACAGTCGGCGGCGATGTGCACTGCGCGAGCTCTGGCACGGAACCGCTCGCGGACGTCGTGGCAATTGCAATGCTGGCCGACGACGAAAACGACGATGCGGCAGTCGGAACCGGCGGCGGTGGCGACGTGTAAAGTGAGGAGGGCGCGTAGAAAGACGAGGACGGCGGCGATGCATAGTGTCGATGGTCGTCGAGCTCGTCGGCGGGCGTCTCAACGTCATCGAGCGCAAAAAGGATACCGCCGAGCGGGCTGCGCACCTGGCTGCTCGACGAGTTCGAGTCGCTGGAATACCGCAGCATGCTGTTGGCATTCGTGAGTTGCTGCAGTGTGACGGTCGCGTCAAAGCGCGACATCTCCCGAAAGTCAAACGACTGACTACGGTGCTGGCGGCGTGTCACGTCGACGTGGCGCGTAAAGCTCGAGCTCAGTCGCGGGCGGCCATCTCGCTACACACCGCTTCATGCGTATCCTGCATCTGCGTAGGTACGTACGCGGTAACGTAGGATCTCGGATATAAGGTTGGCGATGCAGCACTGAAATTTGAAGAGCCAGTCGTTCATCTAATCATGCAATAAGCACCAACTCGACGTGCGAACATGGCGTCGTGGATAGACACACGGCGCGACAAAGACGTGGCACGTACGTGGTCCTTCGAGTCGGCGCGGAAGACATACGTTCGGTGTTCTTCGTGCAGTTTGATTTGGAAGGCCGCGGCGCCATAGTCCTTGGCGGTCCCGATCGACGCGACCGAGTCGAGCGGAATGCTCTTCTCGTCGTACGCCGGCGGCGACAGCGTGCTGGGCACATCGTCTTCGCTCTTGTAAATCATGACCACGTTGCCGTCGAGGACGACCCAGCGCGGCTTCCATACCGACTTGTCCTTGACGCTCTGCTTCTCGAGGTACCCGCGCTTGCACGCGAGCAGCGAGTACTGGTCCCACTGCCATGGCCGCGGTGCCACGTAGCTCGAGCTCAAGCCGGCCCCTAGAAGCGCCGAGCATGCGCATGAGGCCATGGGCCTCGCCTTCGCCGGCGACCTACATGCATCGGTCCCTTCCGTCGTCTCCGAGTCGTGCCAGTCCATGCGCCTGTGTTGATAATTCCGTCGCCTGGGTTACCGTTACAATGCCGCTGCCACAAACCCAGAAACACGCTGCGCCGGATACGACTATCCGGATGGCCCAGTCCCATGATGCTGGCTGATTGCGGCCACAAGCGCGCAATACCGGACCGTCGGCTCGTGGAAGGCAGTGATAGCCTGCCTGCCGTACCCTGCGCTTGGTGGCATTCGCTCGCGCCGGGTCCATACCATGGGCACGCTGGGCCTCGAGGCGCTAGGCGCAAGCTACACCTCGTTTTTGCCGGCGACGACGTGAAAGATCGTGACCATGACAGGGCAAGACCTTCTGCAACAACGGCCATGCGCCACATACGGCAGCACGCCGCCCGTACGAAGATCAAAGCTGGGCATAGCGGTGGTGGCGAGGATCGTGGCTGCCTCCTTGCGTGGTGAGCTTTGGATATGCAGGCGAACGGGAGAGCGGGGAAGCGAGTGCTTTGGATATCAACATTCATGGACAGCGACGACGACTGCCAACGCTCGTGGCGTTGCGCGTTGTCGGTGAAAACTGCAGCGAAAACCGTCGCGACAGAACATTATAATCGCTCTCGTCTGGCATGCACGCTCGCCGGTCGTCCGTGACGGCGACACCGACGACGCCGCTCGCCGAGACGACGCCGACCCAGGCGCCCAAGTCGGTGTCGCCCCCCAAATTCCGGTCCCTTTGCTTGCTTCCATTGCATCCCGCTCACGGTCATGATGACATTAGCATGCCCTTTATCAAGGCGCAGATCCAGGCGAGCCCGAGCATCCTCCGCGCTTTCAATCGCAAGATGAAGCCGCGCCCCACGATGGGCCACGTCGCGTTCAACGAGTCGAAAGTAGACGAGTCGCTCGTGCAGCGCAAATCGAGTCTCCCGACAGCGTCCACGACGACGCCACCCTCGCCCTCGACGTAAGAGTTCCGTCTCATGGCCATGCACCTCAGTTATGATATTCAGGTTTTACTGCGCGACGTGCGACAAGAGCTTTCCTAACCGTGTGCTCTTTGACCGACACCACGCGTTTTCGTTCATGCACGAGCTCAACGTCAAGCAGGCCGCCGCGCTGGCCGAGCTCGCGTCGCAGCCGTCGCCCAAGACGATGCATCTGTCGCACATAGCCCCCAAGTTTTTCTGGCGGCTCCGCACAGAAGCATACGTTGTGATTGGTGAAAGCGCAAACGGGGACATTGGCGTGTGGGTCTACCAGTCGCCGAGCACACCGGCACTCGAGATCGTGCTGCTCCCGCGCTTGCACACGCTCGCGTCGCTCGACGGTCCGCCGCTCTACGCCAAGATCGTCCACCTGGTCGAAGTTGGGTACAAATTGCTATCCAAGCAACGTCGAATACTAGCGACTGTAGCTTTCGGGACGTACGGACTCAAACGCTCGGCCTCGTGTTCCCGTTCGAGTACACGAGCCACGTGGCCCGGCAGTCGGTACCAGGCGACGCCGAGTTTGCCAAGCACTTTGGCTGCTTCTCGCCGGACGTCGTCGAGGCGCGTCTCGCTGCGTGCACGGTCGCTGCAGCACCAACGCTCGAGGGGTTTGAACACGAGCATGGCAAGCTCCAAGAAGACGCCGAGCTTCTGAAAGCGAGCGTGCAGTCGGCCGAGGTCGAGCAAACCAAGACGTCGGCGATTCTAGCCCACGTACGATGTCTCTATGAAGCGACAAACCTTATACGGGACACGTAGCTCGCCACCAAGGTTGTCGTCACGGACAGTAGTGGCAAGGACGAGCCGGAGCCGCCGCCGATGCAGCCGCAGCCGCCAACGACGCCGCCTTTGAACATCTCGCCCCGCCAAGCCAAACGCCTCAGCAACGTCATGCTGCCGCCGCTGGAAGGTCGACCACCCCAGCCGTAGCGCGCCACCTGCTCGTTTTCCATCCAAACACCATAGTTTACATAACCCTATTGTTCGACACTTTGATAACGATTCGTCGTGGAGTTGATTAGGTGTGGAGTCGTAGCTACTTGCCAAGATGGTGCGCAAATGGAAACGTGACGGCGAGCGGCACGTGCCACGGGTGCCGCGCGACCTCGAGGTCGGTCGCCCCTGGCGGCGGCGTCCAAAGCTGGTCGTCCAATGCTACCTGCCCAAAGCCATGCCGCGACGACACGTGCAGCGACAGAATGCCTTGCACCGTCCGCTTGTCGCCGGTGACAAGCGTCGCTGTCACATCCAAGAGCGGGCTCGCGCCGTCACGGGACCACGGGCCGCCGTTCGCTTGCATCGCTGTCGTGTGCACAATGGCCACGTGGGTCGCCTTCTACATTCAAATACCATGTCCGTTCGAGATATGGTCAGACTGGTCGAATGTACCAACAGCAGTGTCTTGGTGTGGAGCAGCAGCCGCAGCATCAAGTGGCCGCGGACGCGCTTGGGCGAGATGCTGCACGCAAAGCAAAACGGTGCCAAGTGCCCGAGCACGCGGCATTGAAAGACTGCGAGATGCACCACGTTCGTTGCAACGTGCAGATAGAACTGCAGTAGCGACTGCTCGATCGACGTTAAAAAGGCCGTCGGTGACAACAGCGTCGTGGTCCCAGAGCTCAGCAAGGGACCGTAGAGGTACCGGAGATACCACATGTCGATGGACGCCACGTAGCGCGCGATGGTGGACGGCGCGGAGGGCAGCGGCAATACCACAACACGGGCGGGGTACGACGTGTGCAGCACGACACTTGTGAGCCACTGGTGGAAGAGTCCGTCGTCACCCATCAAGACAACCAAGTCGCTCCCACCGGGCACCGGCAGGGCGGCGCGCAAGCGACTCGCCTCGTGGACGGGCGATGTCACCGCCTGCGTCATCCGCAGCGGAGCGAGTGCAAACGACGGAAACACCGTCGCCGGAAAGGGCGCGTACGTCGTATCGATCGTCACTGGCGACAACGGACGCATTGTCTGCGTGCATTCATCAGCAATACGTCGGACATATAGACCACGCAAAATGACGTACGGTGGACGTATCGTTGTCGTTGCGGGTGCCGTAGCAGAGGCTTCGCAACGGGCGGACGGGGACCGCGGCGGCCTCGAGCACGGACGCCAAGAGAGACACGCGTACGAGGATCGACGATTGTGTCGGCGTAAGCTGCGCAAGTACGTCGGTGACAAGATACGGGTGCTGGCATAAAAAGCCCACAACACGGCTTTCGTCCGTCAGGTCAAAGTCGCCGTGCAAATGCGACACGAGCCGCGCCACGTCGAGAGGCAGCGAGCCCGACGACGGCTTCTCCCGTCGCCGCATGAGCTACACTCACAAAGGTCCTATCTCCACTTCTACCGAGAGAACATACGCTCTGCAGTTTGCCATGCACGTTTCCTGTCGTGATGTGGTACAACTCTTCCAGTGGCCGCACTTGCCACAAGGGTGCGTCGACCGCAGTGGTGACCACGACCACACTACAGGCCCCATGTTATCACAACTGCCAAGTCAATAATGGGCGATTCGTACTCGGAGGCGATCGCAAGCCGGCGTCGGGACGCCTCGCCGGGCCTCTCGAGCTCGCTCTCCACGACTGCTTCCAGGCGACTCTTGGTCGCGAAGCTCACGGGACACACGAGCGTTTGAAGCGTATGGCGCAGCTGCTTCAGAAAGTCACGGTTCCGCGTTGGCGCTACTGTCAGCGCCTCGGTCATGAGAATCGTGAGCGCCACAAACTCGACCGAAGGAACAGGCAGGGATCGCAGGAGACTCATCATCGCATCCATGATTGCATCGACATCGATGCGGCACAGAAGGTGGTGGCGGACCTGCAGCAGCGTGTACGGGGACATGTTTCCCTTGCTCTCTGGCGTCACGGCGAACGTGCCCGTCAAGGACGACGAGAATGTCGAGCTCGTCAGCGCCGTGTTGGTTCGGTTGCGCCGGGCAAAGAGCATCGACTTGGATTTGCGTATCGTCGTTGGCTCGGTCTCCACCGGCAGAGCCGCGTACGCTCCGGGCGCATACGCCTCGCATGCCAGCGGAAGGCGGACGCCGTCGAGCACGATGGCGCGCCACTTGTTCGCCGGGCCAAGGCTCCATTGCAAGAGCGGTGACACAAGGGCAAAGTCGAGACCCAATGGCGCGACGTCCAGCGGAAAGAAGAAAACGTCCATGAGATGCACCGTGTTGGCGACGCGCTGCGCAAAGGCCACGTTACCTTTGCTGCGCAATAGAAGCTCGAGGCACGCGCGCAGGAACGAGAGGCGCCACGCGGCGTCATGTTGCAGAAGCGTCCAGACCAGCGCGGCGTCGTCCGGCGTCATACACGGGCTTGGCGTGAGGAGCGCGGGGACAAGCCCAATGGGCTTGGGCTTGAGCTTGTCAGCGACGAACGCTGTGAGCGACGAGGGCCATGGCCGCCACTTGCCCATGTCCGCGTCTGGCTGCTTGGCGTTTCAAATTGCTTCGATCGAACGTCGTTCTCACTTTTCGCACCCGATAGCATGCTGCATCGTTCTTCGACTTTTCGCCGTCAGCCTCCTGCGGTGAGTTCGGGAGCTGAGACTCCGTAATCCAAGGCCAGGGCATCTGTGGTTCTTTGGTGTGATCAAAAGCTGCAGGAGGCTGTATGTGGTTGCGGCTGTGAGCTGCAATGAAGCGAACATCTTCTGTTGGACTGCACGAGGTCGACCGAGCCGCTTGCGTCGAGCTTGGTGCGAATCAACTCGAAAGGACGGACCGACTTCTAAGCTTCGTAACCAGATACCCAAAATACCAGTGCCAAAAACAAGGTGGTGGCACCCATTCATCGCCGTCGTTGCGACGGCAGCCTGTACGACATCGAACGTCGAGAGGCGTTGCTCGACGACGCACATCGCCATGCTGCCTTGCAGAACAACGACCGAGAACGTCGACCGCGAACGAGGACGAAGCCGTCGTCTCGCCTTTCCGCCTGGAATCACTGCAGCTCAAAACGATCTCGGGCGTATCACCATACAACGAGTAACAAAGCATGGGGTCTCACACGTGCTACTACTGTACCGCGTCTATCACACGTATCACACATGAGGCCCTTCGGCATATCAGAAGATCGAAGAAGGCGATCCGCAAGTGCAATGTGCACTTTGCCAGCCGCTACATGTATTACAGTACCTATAAATGTACTGTCATCGTAGAGTCGTGCAATCAGACGTCAGAGTCAGCACGGGATGCACCCTGGGGTGCCCTGGGATGCACCTGTTGCGGCGCGTACGTGCACCTTGGTTCGCACGGCAAAGAGTGTCCAAGGATGCACTTGAATGTGCCAGGGGACGGTAGAGGCGTCGAGTACGTGTTTATCAAATCTTGCTCTTTCTATCACATATTTCTCTGTACAGTCTCAACAGCCGCGTGTGCAAAGCGCAATGTGAGACAACCTTGGGTGGGCGCGTGGCATTTGGCGCGCGTCACCGTGGTGTAACGCACCACTTGGCGCTTGAATAATGAATGGCGCGCTCGTGTACAGTATGTTTGGCGTCAACAAGAACGCATCCACCTGGTGTCGATGGATGACGGCCTTTCTTGAAGCTTGCCTCGCTTGTTCACTTGAGCTTTTACTTCAATCGACGATGACGCGGATGGGTGGCGCGAGTGTGGCCGCCATTTCGCACCGCCTCGACGCGCTCCCAACGACCCGCGGCTGCGGCGGCATCTCGCCCTACTACCTCAAGCTGCTGCACTCGGCCGGTGTCGGCTGGGCCATGGACGCGATGGACACGTTTCTCTTTACGTACTGCCTCACTCTTATCGAGTCGGAGTTTGCGACCGAGTACCACCGCGTCTTTACGTCGTCCGAGCGCGGTATACTCTCGTCGTCGGTCTTTGCCGGCTCGCTTGTCGGGTCGTTCCTCTTTGGCCACATGGCCGACATGTACGGCCGCAAGCCCATGTTCACGTGGACCATGATCACGTTTGCGTTTGGCAACATCATGTGCGCGGTCGCCGACAGCTACGGCATGCTGCTCACGTTCCGCTTCATCGCTGGCATTGGTCTCGGCGGCGAACTCCCGGTCGCGACCACTTTGGTCCAAGAGCTCTCTCCCAAAGCGACGCGCGGCCGCATTATTGTCGTCCTCGACGCCTTCTGGCCCATTGGCTGCATCCTCGCGATCGTCCTCGCGCGCGAAGTCACGAAAGAAGTGTCGTGGCGCTGGGTCTTTGCGCTCTCGACGCTGCCTGTCTTGTATGCCCTCACGGCCCGCATGTTTGTGCCCGAGTCGCCCAAGTGGCTCGCGAGCGTCGGCCGGTCCAACCAAGCCGAAGCCATCGTCCGTGCGATCGAGGCCGACCACGGCATCTACCACGTCTCTGCCAACAACAACAACAACAACAATACGACCGACTCTAAGGTCGCCGACGAAATTGCCGCCGACGTCTTTCGCTACCGCCGGCTCTCGACGCGGCAGCGGGTCGCACTCCTCTTCCGCGGCGTCTACCTCAAGCGCTCGATGGTGCTCTGGGTCATCTGGCTCGGCCTCTCGTTTGCCTATTTTTCCATCTACACGTGGCTGCCGACGATCATTGCGCAAAAGTCCAATGCGTTCGATCTGAACGGGTCGACGTGGACGCTCTTGGCGATGGTCGCGTGCCAAGTGCCCGGGTACATTGCGGCTGCGTACGCGGTCGAGGTCATTGGCCGCAAGCTCACGCTGGCCGCATTCCTTCTCGGGTCGTGTGCGGCCGCGATTGTGTTTGGCTACGTGGCGCCGACGGCGGCCAACCTCCTCGTCACCGGCGGTCTCCTCTCGTTCTTTATGCTGGGCGCGTGGGGCGCGCTGTATGCGTACACGCCGGAAAACTACCCGACGAATATCCGCGCCATGGGCGCCGCGTACCCTGCGGGGATCTCGCGCATCGGTGCGATTGGTGGCGCGTACATCCTCCCGATCCTCTCGGACCACGGGTGGTCGCCCGAGGCGATCATGTGGCTCAACGGCGGCGTTCTCGTCGCGACGGCCGTCGTGCTCATTGTGTTTGGGTACGAGACGCGTGGCATGAACATTGATGATGTCTCGGGCTTTGATAACGTCGCGCAAGAGTACATCACCGAGCTCCGCGACGACAGCTTTGACGAGGCCCACATCCTCGCCTAGACTACGCGTGTATGGCTTTTTAAATTAACAAATAATACTAGATGAGGATGACACAACAAACCTGCTTGGCTCTGTCGCACCTGTCGGGAACGAGTTGATCCAAGTCCTTGGCCTTTTTTCGCATCTTTTGGTTGTTTATTTTTTACTTTCGGAACTGCTATGTGGTTTCATGGTTATACTGGGAGTATTTTTTTAGTTTTTACAGGTTTAATTAGTATATTATTTGTTTTTTATACTTGGTTAAGAGATGTAGTTCGTGAAGCTGTTTATGAAGGTCAACATACTTTAAAAGTACAATTAGGTTTACGTAACGGAATGTTAATGTTTATCATTAGTGAAGTTATGTTCTTTTTAAGTTTTTTTTGGGCATTTTTTCATTCAGCATTAGCTCCTACTCCTGAAATAGGTTCTGTATGGCCTTTAGGTATAGAAACTATAAATGCATGGGGTATTCCTTTATTAAATACTGTTATTTTATTAACTTCAGGTGCTACTATTATTTGGGCTGTGCAACCGACACGTCATGGAGGCAGCCCAACCCACAATGCTGCCGAGCCAAGAGGATGCGTCGACAGAACCTTGTTTGTGCACACTGAGCGGCCGCAGCATAGACATTCAAGGTCGAGGGCGAGCTAGGATACTCTCGTGCACGCACGCAATTTATCAGTGGATATGTCTTGCGTGAGATCTTTTGCATAGACTTGGCCAACGTGGAGGCAAGCCAGATGCATTATTCTTCATTCGTTCACGCACCGTGGCTGCGAAGAGGTGCGGGAGCTCGTGTAAATCATCTGTGGTCACTGCCTCCGAGTACGGCCCTTGACGATACTCTCCGTACAGTCCTTCCAAGCGTCGTGATGAAGCAAAGCTACGCAGTTGATTGAGGTCCTCGAGAGACGCCAGCGATGGAGGTGGCGTCAGCAAGTGGAGGTCGCGGTGTGGGACGATCAGTAGATTAAGCTGGATGTGACCTAAAATGCTACCATCGGGTCTGCTCGAACGGGTCGGGAAAGCCGACGTTGGCAACGTTGGCACACTGGCGGGCAACGACCTCGCTCAACGCGACGCTGTGCAGTGCTCATAGGCGCGACGTCGGTGAGCTTCCTCGGGTAAATACCTAACACACAGCGTAGCTGCCGGCGGTGCAAGCTGCCAAGGCTCGCCAAGCTCGTCAGCATCGGGGCCCACGAGCCACAATAGTTCAAGCGAATCAGGAGCGCGGAGCGCTTGACCGCCGCACGCGGTTGCCTTCCGAGACGAGACCGGGCGTATCCAGATCTTCCACCTTGTCGAGCGCTGCTGTCACCAGCTGCTACCGAATGCGTCAATCGACCGCGTCATCGAGGAGGTTGCCGAGCTTCTTAGCTGGATGCCCCGCCCACGAGGCAGTCAACTTGCGTCGACCTGCGTACCTGCGTGTCTTCCGTCTTGTCTCCCTTCATGGGCTCGAACCGGAAGAAGACGCGCTCCTGCAGCAGTTCGCCGCCACGAAGCGCGTGCTGGGCCACGAGGTCGCCCGTGCGTCACCAGAGTCCCATCGGGCGAATACGGTGTCGTCAGCGTATGGTTCGTATGTGCGAGAAGGTTGCCATTTGCGACCACATTTTAGCCAATCAACGATGCGGGAGCGGCAAAGATATGCAGAATGACGGTCCTGTCAGACCTTCCCGCTTCAACATCATTGAAGTCGTTCTTTTATCCAGCTTGTGTGTCTTTAATGTTTCTTTTATACTTTGCTCGTCGCAGTTCAGAATTTGCCTAGCAGCCGGCAGACAAGCCATGTCGGCAGCCGTCCATCCTCTCGACGCCATGCCCTGTCTCGCGTCCTGTCGCTCCGAGGAGCCAGCTGTTGCCGTTACGAGCCAGAACAAGGCGCATCTGCCCACGTTCGCTGAGATGGTCACCAGCTTCAAGGCCGAGGTCGCGACGATGCAGTGCGACGTCCGCCCGTCGTCGCCGCCGGCCACGCTCGACTCGATCAAGCAGGCCTTTGAGGACATCTCGTTCGATCGCATGCGACGCCACTTGACGACGTCCAAGAAGCCGTTCGTCGTCATCTCTGGTGTCTCGGTCGAGGTCTTCAACGCCTACTTTGAGGACGACGAAGACGCTCCGGTCGCGCTGCGCTTTGTCGACCTCGTCAACGGTAGCATCATCATCACGGACTTTCCATCGGAGGCGCACGAGGCGGTCATCCACAAATTCGTGAGCGAGTTCCTCCACGCTTCAGGCGATCGCGATGAGGTGGCCCCACGTGGTTCGTTCACGGCGTCACGCGGCCGAGGCAGCAAGAAGAAGCAGGCCGATGCGTCGTTCGGGCCACTGTTCCGCACGCTCAACCGAGGCCCACCGCCGACGGTCGATGAAGGACCACCTCGCGTGTTGCGTGCGCTCAAGCACTGGGTGACGCTAGCCGTCGAGGTCGGCTACTCACAAAAGTGGAATGGGCTTCGGGTCGCGGGCAACTGGTGGTCCAACTACGTTGGCGTCAAGTACGTGCTTTTGATGCGAGTCGACAAGAACGCGACAAAGCTGCAGTACCGTCTGTACGAGATCACGCATGTGGGCGACCTACCGGCGCCGTCCCGACGCGGGTCCATGACGCTGGACAACGCCGCCGGTGCGCAGCACCCGATCCTTCGCATCGACACGCGCGTGCTGCTTGCGATTCCTCCAGGCGAGGCGTTGCCGGCGGACATGAACGACTTCTGCAACGTGAACCTCCTCCGTGTGCTACAAAAGGCCCATGATGTGCTCTGCGACGACTAGCTGTTCGTGCACGTGTTAGTATATTCCATGTACTAACAATAATGCAGCCATGAGGTGACGCAAAAGCCTCACATTCTCTTATGGCGTTTTTCTAACATTTGTTTACAAGAAGGCCTCGGCGTCGTCCTGGAGCGAGAGAAGGTCCTTGTCGTGCGGGTCCAGCTGCAGTCCGTCGTCGCAAACGTCCAAAACCGCGTCGTAGTCGTGGTCGAGGAGCGCGGCTTTGGCCCAGAGCCGGTAGAACGCAATGTTGTTCCTACTCGAATCCACCGCGTCCTCCATATCGGCGCACACGTCGCCGTAGAGCCCAAGGTGAAAGCCAGCTAGCGCGCGCTTCCAGTACAAGAGACCGCGCTCGTCAGCGTCCAATGGCGCAATGCGAAGCACGTCGTTACGGAGCGTGGTCCAGTTGAGCGCGCGGCTGTAAAACTCGATCGCTTTGGCGTACAGCTGGTGCGCGTACATGTCGTCGCCTTCGCGCCGCAGATGCGCGAGCTCGGCGTCGAGGAGGTGGTGCCACGGCCCGCTAAGCGGCACGACGCTGGTGCCGCGCTCGAGCCACGCGAGCACGAGCCGCGCAAAGTCGACAAACACGGACGGCTCGTCGTCCATGTCGAGGACCTCGCGCAGGTCTGCCATCGCTGCGGTCACGTCCCGGGCGTCCAGTGCGTCCCACGCACTGCGAAAGTACGTCTCGGCCACGTCCATAAACTCGTTCGCTTCGTCGTCACCGTCGTCGCCGTCGTCGTCACCGTCGTCGCCGTCGTCGTCGCCCAACACACGGGCCGTACCCGGCGTCACCTCGTCATCGGCGACTATCTCGTCGGGCTCTTCGTCGTCAAACGGCTCGTTGTGCAACACAGCGTCTGCTGCGGCGGCCGCGTTGACGGGCGTTCCGATCCCGAGCCGTAGAATCTGCGCGTACTTGGCGCCGGCGCCGGGAAGACCGCGGTCGTACGCAGCTTTGAAGTGCGACGCGACGATGGGCCAATGGGCTTGGCTACTGTCCGACGGCTTGAAGCTGTCGAGCAAAACGTGGCAAAAGCGGTGCGTCCGCGCTTCGAGCGAGAGTTCGTGGTCACCGCCATGCTCGGCCTCGTACGATAGCATCTTATCGCCAAAGGCCAGCATCGCGCGGATCTCGTCGGCCGGTCGGCCAGCCTTTTCCAGCCACAGCGTCGCCTTGGCCGCATCTCGGCGGTAGCCGCGGTGCCCAGACGCAAACTTGCGCCCGAGCTCGAGCTGCGCCGATTGAACGCCGGCGATGGCCACCTGCGTCTGCCACTCCATCTCGTCTTGGACGTGGACGCAGTGCTTGGAGCGGCTCAGGAGCACGCTGTCGTTCGGGTCGAGCGCGAGTCCTTTTTCACATTCGACGAGCGCATCGTGGTACCAGTGCAAGCCGACGAGCGCTTCCGAGAGAATTCGGTAGAGCTTGACGCTACCACTGGGCGAGAGCGCGAGTGCGTCGATAGCGTCTTGACGCGCGAGGTCGAATTTCTTGAGCTGGAGCTCGCAGAGCGCGCGGTTTGAGTAGAGCGTGGGCTCCTTGGGCGAGTACCAAAGCGCGGTCGTGTAGAGCGCCATCGCTGCGTCAAACTCGCGGCGCTGGTAGCACGCGTTGCCGTCGTCCTTGCACTGTTGCCAGCTGACCTTGCTCTTCTTCTTGCTGTTCTTTGTGACCGCCTTGTACACGAACGGCTTGGCGAGAACGCGGTCCCGCAGCGCGAGTGCAATGTACGGCGCGTCCAGGAAGCGAGCCAAGTGCCCGAACGACTCGATCACGTGGTCGTACGCATTGCGCTCGAAGGCTGCGGCGTGCGACCGCCGAATGTAGGCACGTGCGCGGGCAATGTGCTCTTGGATCCAAATGCTCTCGGCGGTCGCGTCGGGAAAGCACGTGCTCCACGCCCGCTGGAGGTGCGCAATCGCATCGTCGAGGTCCAGCAGCTCGCACGGCTCGTCGCTGTGCTCGTCAAGACGCCGCTTGATGCAGTGCGTTAGCAGCGAAGCGGCAAACGCGACGTTGGCGCGCGCGTCCGCCAGCGCGAGCTGCGCGACGATCGCGGCCTCGTCCGCGCCACTGCTCGCCATATCCCGTGAAACTCAATCGAATGACCTTTGGGAGGATCCGAAAAGCCTGTCAAAGATGATACGCCGATGTCGTTCGTGTCCCACGTCGGGACACCTCTTTTTGGGACTCGAAGGAAATGGTGCACAGAGCTCGCACAGCAACGCCGATGCAGCAAGTGCGCTGTACTCTCGCACACAACTCGGCTGAGTACCTCAATGGCTATCTACTGCAGTGGTTGCGACGCTGGACAGCATCGCAGTGCTAGACTTGGCGACAGCACGTGGCCACAGCACGCATGCATTTGCAGAGGATCGTCCTCGCTCGCGTTGGCCATGACCAAGCTGGGGTGACGCATGCTCAGCAATGGACGCAGACGCTGTCTCGCGGTGCTTGGTGCTGGTCCAGTTACACAGAGCATTGCACTGCACTGGAGCACAGCGATCGACGGGTTCTCTCGCTTCCATTTCGCTCACAACTCACCAACGCGCCATCATCATTCTTGCGACGACGCAAATGGTTTCCAGAGCGAGCAGCCGCGGTGCGTCGGTGGCGTCCAAACCAGGAACCCACAGAGCGACAGCATCGCTGAGCATCGACGACAAGCCGCTGTACCGTTTTGCCGCACTGCTACGGGGATACCACGCGTACGACGACGACACGTCCGCGCGCAAGAATTCTCTCAAGTTGGGCGCCTCGTCCTCGTTCGCGCTGCAGCAGAAGCGCTCGGTAGAGGCAGAAGAAGGCTATATCCAAGCAGTTCAATAAGCTGCTTGTCTGCACCTCGTTGTCGAGATGCTACGTTGACGGCGCACATGACGGTGCGCGACGGCGATGGCCATCGCACGTCGCTCGGAATTCGCGATCTGTGGTGGTCCACGACTTCGGCGGATTTGGAACCTCGCATTTGATTGGCTACGAAACGGCAACTTGCATGTGATTGGCTGCATGGTATTTCGATGCACCAATCGCAGTGCAATTGATGATTCCATCGAATCCAGCGTTCTGATTGGCCATGGTCAACCAATCCGCTGCGAGCCGCAATGGGTGATATCCTTGGCAGGATCCTTGGAGCAGCCAATCGACCTTTCTTCATGGCGCCCGCACAGCTCGCGACCACGTACGTTGCCCATCGTCGTAGCCGTACACTGGTATCATGACGCCCGGCCTAGGCAATCGACGGCGCACGACCCCGTGTCCATGGGCGAGTACGTCATGTCGCCGACGCACCAGATCAGCCCCGAGTCGCTGCCGCTCTTTGCGACAGCGCCGCCGTCGCCGCTTGCGATCAAGGACTACAAGGGCACGGGCACGGTCCTCGGGTCGGTCTTTACGCTCACCAACACGATCCTCGGCTCGGGCACGCTCGCGGTGCCGTTTGCGATCGCGTCGAGCGGGTGGCTCGCGGGCCTGATCGTGATGGTTGGGATCGCGCTCATTACGCGCTACTCGGTGTCGCTCCTCATGCGTGCGAGCGACCTCGCCGGCGACTCGGCCGCCAAGACATACGAAAGCCTCGGGCACCACACCATGGGCAAGTACGGCACGTACCTCGCAGAGTTTACCTTTATCTTTGGCGGCTTTGGCACGCTCACGTCGTACTTTATCTTCATCACGGACCTCCTCTGCGCGATCTTTGGTATTGCCCATGCAAACCGGAGCTATGTCACGCTGCTCTTTACGTTTGGCATCATTTTGCCGCTCTCTCTCAGCCGCCGCCTTGGGAAGCTGCGCATCTCGAGCATCCTGGCCACGTGCGCCGTCACGTACGTGGTGTGCCTCTTCTTTGCTGTCTACCTCGTCGTGTCGTCGTCGGCGACGTTTACGCCCGTGGCTGTTCCCGCGGTATTTCTCTTCTTGCTCAGTCGTATGGATGTCTCATGTTATCGACTAGGTGAACATTACTTCGACGTCCGTCTACACGGTGACGCTGCTCATCCAGGCCTTTGCGTGCCACAACACGGCGCTGCCCGTGTACGAAGAGCTCCGCGACCGCAGCCTTGCCCGCATGAACCGCGCCGTCGTCGGTGCCATTTCGCTCTCGTTTCTGCTCTACACCGTCATTGGCTTCTGCGGCGTCTTTACCTTTGGCGACAAGACCATGGACAATGTGCTGCTCAACTTTTCACCAGCGTTCCTCGCCGTCTACCCGGGTTTAGAGACACCGCTGTGGCTCGCTCGGCTCTGCATGGGCGTCGCGCTGCTCTTTTGCGCGCCGATCGCCATGTGGCCGTTCCGGTCCTGCGTGCTCTCGGTTGTGCTCCGAGTGACCCACGGCAAGCAGCTCCCGAGCTCGGTCGCGTCCACGACGGTGTACCGCACGACGACGCTGTTGCTGATCGTGCTCATTCTCAGCGCCGCCTTGTTTGTTCCGAGCGTCAAAATTCCGCTGAGTATCGTGGGCTCGGTCGCGGGCTCGCTCATCATCTTTATCATGCCGTCGCTCTTCTACATGCTGCAGCTGGACGACCGCCCGCTGCTGTCGTGGCGCAACCTCGGGCCGCTGCTCATGCTCGGCACCGGCATCTGCGTCGGCGTCCTCTGCTTTAGCATGACCATGTACAAGCTCCGGCGCGAGTTTTATCCGTAAATAATCAAGGTATCGACTCGTCGTTTGGCCGTTCAATTTATTTGCTGTCACACGCTGGATGGCGTGCGAGTCGTGTCAGCGCCTATCGTTACAAGGGAGCTCCGTCCCAGCCCTGGCTCCTCATGGACTCCACTCGCTGAGGAATAGATTGTTTGCGCTGATACTATCACTGGCCGATTTCACTGGCCGATTTCACTCTCGCCGCAGAGAAGGCGTTGACACAGTTTGTGAGCCGCGGATCCCACGAGTCGCATGTGATTGGTACGTAGTAAACTCAGCTCTTATCCGCGTCACCACGTAGGTGTGTCACATGGGTATATAATGATGCGATATTTCAATGCTAGTTGACATTATTCGAATTTGTCGGTTTCTCACTTCGCTGTCTTGGTCTTTGGTCTTGGTCTCTCGACAGAGTTGGCACGAACGGTCGATTCGATGGCGTATTCTTGGCTGCACATCCTTGGCTTTGTCGTGTATGTGCACAGCATTACCGGTACGTTTTGCTGGGGCATCAACACCATTGAGTGGATTCGTCCTACATGTTTCACATAAACTGGGTAAGACGGCTTTTAGCGACTGTTTCAACGCACTTTTCCCAGCTCCGTTCTTTCACGAATTGTAGTTTGAGTGCAGCGACGCGTGGCAGCGCTGCTATCACAGTGCACACTGGCGCGATGGCCAGTAACGTTAGTGCGACTGGCGATCCTACCACAGCTCGTCCACGACCGCATCGTTGTATACCGGCCGACAGCAAATCCAGATGGAGGAACAGGGTTGGACGAAAGGTATTCATTCTCGCTGCGAACAAGATAGTCGCTGTGGATACAGATGCTCGACAAGTTGTTTGTCTTGCGCAACACTCTGAAGCTCAATGGTGCAACGTGCGCTGGCCAAGCAGTGATATATGCTATCGGGCCAGAACAAGCGCAGGTGCATACAAATCGCTATATACTTCCCAGAGCATCTTGTGAGACGTGCGCTTCAAGTACGCGCCTGGCAATACATCATCCATTTCGACATCCCTTTAATGTCAGCAAAGGGTACCGGTACTCGCACGTTCACATCCTCGCTGTTGTCATTTCCCAATGCACTCGATCGGCAGCATGGG